TAAATGATGCATATGGCTTATCTGGGCCATCGATTCCCAGTGACAGTCTGGTACTGATCGTCTTAGGATCGAGAGTCTTAGGCTTGGCGAAGCTCGTCGTGTGCTCGACGTCGGCATCCATCCCTCCGCCGCCGTTGCTCTTGTCTTTGGTTGCCGATTCCGCCTCGTCATCATCATCATGGGCATCGAATTGCGGAGAGTATTCCCCCTTTTTGATCTCACCAGAGGCAAGCACTCGGAACATGAGGACCTTGATCTGCCCAGTTGCCTCGGGGGGTTCGTCGTCATCGGAAAGAGAATCGGAGCTCATGTCGTCCAGAACAGCCTCGACGGGAGACCCTGCATCGGCGCCGTACCTGAAGGCGTCTCGGGACCCTCTGCCGCCATCTCCTGATTTCGCTGCTATGGGTTCAATGGTAGCTCCTTGTCGTCGACGGCGCCTTTCAAACCTTTGTCGACGTCGTTCAAGCTTCTCTGCAGCATCGTGGCCCTTTAAATCTAGGCCATTCAACCAGCGTTCCAATCCAACCTCACGAAACAAGAACTCTCGCTCTGCCAGCCCGCCGCCTTCGACATCAGGGACTTGAACCCATCGACTGTTCACCCATGTCTCTTCGCCAGGTCGGAGAAGTGTGGCCACCTCTTCCTTTGACCTGCCATCGAAATAGATGTAAGCAGCAATAGTCTCGTTTTCCGAGTTCGTCATGGGAATGTACGGGTTCACGTTCCACGAGCCCTTGTTCCGCTCCGAAGGCACGTTGGAGTGACCTCCGACGTACTGGGGCTTGGGATACGGATTATCGTCTGTGGACTTGGGTGCCGAGTAGGGGATCGGGAGGCCAGGCGTCAGCAATGTGATCGAGATGGCAAACTTCGCAGGGTCTGGTTTGTTGCTACTGAGGTCAACCTGGGGCTGCGGAACGGGTATGTAGGTGCTGATGCGCGAGAATCGCGATTGTTTCTGCATCCATGTTCAGGGAGTGGTGCCCGTTGGCAAGAATACTGCCGAGATTACTTGAACACGGCATGGTGTATGTTGGCTGGTATACTGCTGACAACACGACCCAGCCTCGCGGTGGTGAATTCTTCTCGAGGCCGAGGCCAATCTCAGTCAGGTCGAAGCGGTAGGGGAAAAGCGGTGGTCGTCGTAGCGGTGATGGTGATGGAAGAAGGTTCCCAAATATTCGCGGGGAGGTGGGGATCGAGTCAGGCGAGATGGGAGGTGCTGTTAGCGAATAGCAGCTGCCCTTTGGTGGAAGATAGCGCCGGGACTTTAGGTGTACCCACCTTAGGTAGGTAGGTAGGCAACACCTTTGCTTCTGTGTTTGAAGTCCCTCAAGAAAGGTCGGAGCTAGAAGTCAATCTCGTCGTCACAGTCCGCCCAGCTTGTAAATGGCTCGATCGGTCTTCTATATTGGCCATTGCTTTAATACAACATCCAGATAAGATAACGCGGATGCGCAACAACAGCTGCTGTTTGTTTGAGACGGCAGTCAATCTGATTTCGGTCGGTATAGCTCACTCAGTATCTGGAGACATTTACCACATCTTTCCATACACTGTTCTGGGTCCAACTGTCGCCCGACCAACCTGGCTAGATGAACAGCATGGCAATAAGATACCGACACTCGTGTTCGGCCCTGCTCCTTCACATGAGGATTCAAGTCAGTCCCAGCCGTTCGAGTCTGCGCTCAGCATGAAACGTACTGGAGCAATGCTCTCGTGTTCCGGAATGATTATGCTTCACGTGCAATGTGCAGTGGACGAAGTAAGCATAAGCTAGTCTCTCCTGGCCCCCCTTGCTACTCAATTGTGTTTTTTTTGGACAGGAAAACATATGGCGTGGACGAATTGCACAACACCCACACCATATCATTGGTATAACAGTACACACTGACGATAGCTAAATACACTGGAGTAGAGTACTTCTGACGGCAATCAGGAGCTCGTTGAATGCTGACTTCAAGTCAAGGAGCGAAAACCATTCATTTGATTAGGCGATCTGAAGTGCGGATTATGGATCGTCACTGCTTCATGCAGCCCCATCGCTATCTACATTGAAACTGGGCGGAATGATTGACACGCCACCGACACCTTCAATTCCCCAGTCCCCAGCAACTTGTTCACGATTCGTGCTTGCGGCGGTTCGACAATCGACGCCTGATGTCTTTCACGCCACTGCCTGTTCCTGCCTCGCTGTAGCTTGTACCAATACCAGAGTCGCCCCTCCACATATCCTGATTATCTCCGTCTCCTTCATCGTCCGCGTCGACTCCGGCCATTGCTTGGTTTTGTAGTCGCAACCCTGGAGTCTCCTCGTCAAGCTGTGACTCGTACTTGAGTGGTAATTGTTTACTCAAGGTAGGAAAGGTCCGGGGAACATCAGAGAACTCATCCAACTCCCTGTCCTCTGTCTTAATGATTTCACGTGGGGCAGTGCATTCTGGTACCGAAGATCGAGGAAGGGTGCTTGTTGTCGAGATGCCCCAGATTAGCCAAGCAAGTATCATGAAGGTGATCTCGGCTGCCCAGAATAGCACGATAGCCGTGATGAATGAGAGCAGTCGGTAGTGATGCATAACCCAACGCAGACCGTGAAGCTGGGCTGTAATAACAATTGACGTCTCGTACGTCTGTAAATCTTGACCAGCCTGGATCTCAACATATGCGGCAGTAGGCATGGCGGACTGTTGGGAAGCCAGGAGGATCTTGTGTGCCATCGGTACGCCTAATGTCAAGACTTGCGACTTGGGCACGACGAGATGATAGAACAGAAAGACGAGGCGAGAAGCCGCAACGACCCATGGGTCTCTATACGGCAACAGTGCAGGGCGGCGGGATCGGAGGACGATGCTCCGTCCATCAAATCGCAATGGACCATCTGCATCGCGCTGGGTTCCTGTGCTGGCCGCAGGCGCTGTCTCGCCATTCAAGAGACACATGACGACCATGAAGTTGCCACGCTCAACGTTCGTCGGCGACAAGGGCATGGTCAAGACGATACTGATATCGTATGCCTGCTGCGTCTTCAGGTTCGTATCTGCGAGATAGGCGAGTCCAAAGGGGTCACGTCCGGACCTATGGCGGCGCTGTCAGTGAGCCTCTAGTGATTGGGTGCCGCCAGCAACAGTGACGAGCGAGGGCACTCACCCATATTGGAGATACACCGGGACACTGATGATTTGTTCAGGCATGTAACTTCGATAAAATAAAGCCGTTGAGACTGTCGCTATGAACAGCAAAGGAATACAGCCGCCCAGTAGAAGGCTCAAGTTGATGGCCGCTCGCTGAGCGCCTTTCGACGTGGATGTTCTGTACACCCGATCAAGTGAAACCTATGCGACGCACTAGATGTCAGCCGCCAATAGGGCAAACAAAGAACAGCCGTCAGTCAAGGTTCAGGGATACCATTGCAGTCTTGTGTACCCGGTGTAGCTAGGTCTAACGGGAGTCGTGTGCGAAACTCTGCGTCTTGGTGTTGAAGAGTGGTGATGCTGGAGCGCCGGCCAGTAGGGCTATGGTGGTTGGTAGCTTAGATGATCGCCAGTACATGCCAGTGATTATTGGCAAATGATCATATGACATGTCACAACAATCTGTGCTGGAGGGAAGAACTTATTGGGCTTTGCCGAGCTTGGCCTGAGTTAAGCGCTCAGTGTGCCGGAGATGAAGTATCAGTGTCCTTGAAGGCTTTGGCTGTTTGTTTAAGAAAAATTAGAATTCATTTGAAGGTGGCGATCAGCCGGCAACTTTTGTTTGGGGTGGTTGGAGGATGTGCAAACTCGGTGGAAACACAATTGGCATGAACCTAGGCAGGCATGGAGGCTTAAGATGTCCCGGGGGAGGGGGGGGGGATAAGCCTACAGGGGAGTTTACGCTGGAACGGGTGCCTACCATGCCTTATGAAGCTAGGACCTGCCAGGTTCGGCATGTTTCGTACCAAAAGATCTGGCTATACTCATTTGAGGTACCCTGTTTCACCGCTTGGCTTGCGTGTAAAATAAGGTAGTAGGTCAACCGACAAGATACCTGTTTCTCGTGTGTTCTGGATCCATACCAAGTGTTTGCACGAATGACGTGGAAATTACAGGGAAACACCTGGTGGCATGTATCAACAGTAGCGTCTCACAACAAAGGTGATAACAAGGCCAACCAAGCAACCGAGGTACCCTCTAGCCAGATAGAAATTATTTAGTGTGTGCCACGTCGTCTTTCGATTGGCCATCACCTGCCATTGCATGCTACGTTTTCAGATATTTGGTATTGAATAACTATCCAACCAACAGAACAATTTACAATCGTGGCCAACAACCATTCGTCGGCAAACAGCACGAATATTCACACTAGCTTGCTTGCTGTCTGACTTGACTGTGATCTATACCCAAAGCGCCCAGCTTGGTCCGCTGCTCGAGCACAAAGCTTCAGTTACCTGCCATCTGTAATCTTTCAGCAGGCTTGGAGGTAGTTGCTAGGTACAAGGCCAACACGTCCATTACCGCCATGTACTTCTGCTTCCCACCAACCATCATCTTGGTGCCTGAGCACAGCCATCATGTCGCCTTTAGAAAAACCAAGCTCTTCTGGAATGGCCGCCTGGTACACGTACATTGCCCTCGCTGGACCAACAGTCAATAAAGCTCAGAACAAAGTTGACCAGGATATGGCGCAAGCTTACCGAAGTGAAGAATGGCACGGCCATCTCGAGTGTACTGTCGCGAAGGATCAGCAACACTCTTACTTCGCTGACGCGAACCGCTTTGCGCGGGTCCTCCTCCATCGTAAAGCCCCATAGCACGATTGCTGGAGCTTGTCCCCGGCCGGCTTCATTTCCGACCTCGATGTGATTCATGGTTCTCATCTCCGAAGCAGACGCCATTGACGGACATGTCACCTGCGCCGGACCGCTGTTGGACCTTGTATACTCGCAGAAACGGTGCCGGGGAACGCTGATCTTGCCACATCGTTTGGAGAGCCTTGTCGGTAGTAGTCTTGATCCTGAGGCCTGGCTGGTCCAGCTCCCAGATCGTGCTGGCTGGCTAGGCGAGGATTTGGTGAAGCAGAACGATGGGCACTTCGTACACTGCTGGACATATCGGGTCTTGGAGATACACTTCGAGGCGGTGCTGGAGACATAGCTCTGGGCACCTCGCGCCCCCTGGTTGTAGTGCGTGCTGTCGAATTGCCTGCAAACCCGCTGGAGCCCGGTCGACTATCTGAGCCGAACACCGAGCGTGCTTGTTCAGTGAACTTCTGGGATGTTTCCTTCATAGCCCTGGCAGTGACAGCAGCAGGAGGAACACCCAGTCTTTGTACTTGTTGGTCATATGAGGGTGGGGGTGTGCCCCTCAGGCCAGCGGTTGCAGCGCTGTTACTAGCCAGCGGTGGGACCGATCTGGCAAAGGACTGCTGCGAGCTGGGGGCGGGGGCAGGCGTAGCGATGCCGTGATAGCGGTCGGCAGACACCCTGACGGTTGCTTGCTTGTCTGCGCCGACGCCTTTTAACTCAGCAAGTGCCAACGCAATCGGATCAATTTCTTCGGGAGTGGCCTTCGGTTTGTTTGCCATTCTCTTTTCCATATCTGGGGTTGTGACGGAGAACACGTTCTGGCCTACGTTTAGTGGCAAGCTGGCATTCGCATCTATGGGCTCAGGACTGTTTGTTGCACGATCTGAGAGCAGCGTAGATGTCTCCTTCGAGTAGATTTGTGGACGTCGATTGGGACTGGATTGACCGCCGTGAGATGCAGAATGCCAAGTATTTCTGCCGGAAGACGACTGGGCTGCTTCTTTGGTGCTTTTGCGGCGGAATGGGCTGTGGTTCTGGAAAAAGCCACTTCTCTTCTTGAAGACTCGACGCTCTGTTGCCGCCTCTAGTGGTACTTGTTCTTGTTTGGTTGGGGATGCTTTACCACTGGGGGGTTCTTGGCTTGATAGCGATGTAGGGTAGCTATACTCGCTATGCGAGTCTCGGCTGGAGGGCCGAACTGAAGCTGGATGAGAACTGCGCTCCGAGGGTGGACCTGTGCGACAGAGCATTGTCATACCATCAAGTGGATAAGGGTCGTGTGGTACTGCCGCCAAGGGTCCATGCTGAGTCGTATCGTGAGGAACTCGGTGCTGCGACGGCTGATGATGACTTTGGGAAGCGTCGACCTGACCGTGTCGCACACCGCTCGAGACTTGGGGCGTCCCTCGTGCGGCAAGCCCCCTGCCGCGTCCAGGTGTCTGTTGTGGCTCTCTGTGGCTGAGATTCTGGGCGAGGTGTGAATTCGGGTCGTGGTGAGACTCGTAAGTTGACGGCTGTGGTGACGAGGATCT